CGTTATTTTCTTTCTTTTTTTTCTTAAAATCGCTTCGACGACGCGCGAGATGTATCAACGAGTATAATAAACAACGAAACGACGAGTCCATTCCATTCTTCCCCGTCAATTTACGTCAAACATCGAATCACTTTGTCTCTTTTCTTTTTTTTTTTTTCTTATTTTTCCTTTCCAATTCTCGCGATCCGATCCATATACAATCCAACTGTATCACACGTATATACGTACGTTCCTTCCTATACATATATATATATATATATATATTATTAATAATATTAATAAATGTATATATATATAACGATAATATAACATGATTGTGACGTCGACAATCGCTTTTTTTTTTCCTCGCCATTGAACTTGACCCGTAATTGAAGCTTGAACATGTAGCATATAATAATAAAAGCTTGACGTTAAAAATATCTTTCTCAAACGCAACTGTCCCGGTCGAACGGAAATTCGCTCTCTCTCTTTCTCTCTCTCTTTCTCTCTCTCATATCTTCGTTCCGCTCAGTTTAATAGAGAAAGAAAGAAAGAAAGAAAGAAAGAAAGAAAGGCAGACGTGCATTAAACGTGCGCGAAGGGGAAGAGGAATTCTTTCCTTCGTTCGAAGGAAAGATTCTTCGAAACGATTTTTATTATTATTGTACAGTTGTTAGAAGAGAGAGCTGTGTCGTTCACATCGGAATCGAGACGCTTGGCTCGTCTCTCCTCCCATTTACCTTTTTTTTTTTTTTTCTTTCTTTAAACCAGTCACTTTTCAAATTTTCATTCCAAACTTCTTTTTTTGAAAAAAAAAAAAAAAAAAAAAAAAATATTCCGACATATTCGTTTCCCTCTCGAGGGAGGGACGTTTTTTATTTATCGTGGAAGGAAGGAAAAAAAAAAAAAAAAGAAAGGAAGGAATTTCGAAAATAATAAGGTTCGAGTCCGATGTGCGACAATGTAATAATACTGTAGAGTTGTTAATACGGCATGTAAGTAAGTAAGTAAGTAATTTATACGCAGAGGCACGAAAGTATTGATCCATATATATATACGTATACAAGATGTAACCGATTTAAGAGAGAAACAACGATTCGCTTTTCGATCAAGATAGACACCGGTGCCTCGCTTGCTTATCTATATATATATATATATAAAATACTAGTGGAACAGTTGGGCACAAAGAGATGGATTTGTATAGGAGCGATTTTGAAATCTCGATCGATTCGAATCGATCGATCCCCACATGGATGTACGTATGATATTATTATTATTTGTCTCGCTTTACTTACTTAACCACCACTCACTTCTGAAGAGAAGAGTTTGCTTTTTTTAGAAGAAGATTCAGAACGCGCGCTTCCGAGGTATATATATATATATATATATATTTTGGATCGCGAGTTCGAAAGGAAAAGAATAGGTGAAATTTTTAAGCCGAGGAGAGAAGGGATCGGTGGCCGAAATCCGATTTCGAGAAAATCGTTTCACACGCCTCGAAAACAACAACAAACGCAAGCTTTTTAACGGCCAACGTAAACGGAAGTGGCTTCATCATCACGCTTATCATTTTACTCGCGCTTCTGTCTCACCCTTCTCCGATCGATCGGTGGAAGAAGCCTTTTAGCAATCGCTGACCGTTTAAACATGAAATTTCCCTAAGACGATTACACAAAGATTCTCTCTCCCCCAGTGATCGGCAAAATTTAATCGAGTTACTTTGAGTAAAGTTACTTTCACGGTGTTATTTCGATTTAATTCGTTAAATAAATTGGAAATTATCGTAATAACGATTCGCTCGATTGTTCGTTTTAATAAATAAAAATCGGTTGTTGGAAGTAACTTTGTTCGAAATTTTTTTGGGGGGGGGGGTTAACGGCCAACGCTCTGCTCGACGATCGTATCGGCGGCCACCTTCTTCTTCTTTTTTTTTCCACGTTGAAAAGGGAACGGGAAAGAGGAAATGTCTCGAGGAAAAGAAAAAGAAAAAGAAAAAGGAGAGAGGCGTAGAGTAATAATAATAATAATAATATTGGTCGAAGGATGGATCGTTGTTTAACATCGAAAAGATATCGTAAGAATATAAGTTTCTTCTACGGAGACCCTGTCGCAGGGTAAAAAGAAGCGAGAGGGCGGTCCACCGACCGGAGCTACGACAGGGCCGAACGAGATCGTGACCTGCACCAATTGTGGGCCCAACCCTTGCACGCACACAACCACCAATGGATGCACGGCTGAGGTACGTCGACAAATTGTATCGATCGATTGTATCCTTCCCTAGTCGCTCTCGAACTAGTGACTTTTCTTTTTTCTTTTTTTTTTTTTTTACTTCGAATAATTTTAATTCGAAAAGAAATCAAACCAACTGTGAAGTTAATAGAAAGAGCGATATGATTCTCGATATATTTCTATATATTTGTCATATTTTTTTTTCCCCCGCCTTTTCGATTGGTTGGATTTCAGCTGAGAAAAAAGGAACCGCCGCATCCTATAAGAGTGGCGAAGACGATCGACGTGATAGCAAGAATCACCTTCCCGATCGCCTACTTCATGTTCCTCACCTTTTTCTTCATCCACTACAAAGGCACTTCGTAGACCGACACCGGAGGAGGCAAACGGGATATTCACACCGTTCATCATCGAGCCACGTGTTTCACGACGTGCGGCGACGATTTTTTTTTTTTTATCTCGATTCAATCAATTACATTGGAGGGGAGGGCAGCAAGTCCGAAGGACTTTGAACGAGGTTGAGTTGTTAGTCGGCGGCGTGGAGGAGGGAGGGGGAGGTGAAGGGAAGTGTTCTTGTCTCCGCTCGAAAAAAAGGGAAAGAGAGAAAAAAAGGTTCCAAAAAAATCGAAAGCAAAGTTAACGTCGCGTCGATATCGTTCTGGATGACTGGTTTCGTTCGAAGAAAAAGATAGAATACGAGAAAGATCGGCTTATCAAAGAGCGAAGGATCTGTATTAACTGTCTTTTCTTTGACTTGGAAGGAAGAGGAAAAAAGAAAGAAAGAAAGAAAGAAAGAAAAAAAACGAAGAGCACTCGAAGAAGAAAACACTCGAATTGTTGGGGACACTCGCCTCTTCCTCATCTTTTTCTCACATGTGATAATTCTTCTTAAAAGCACTCTCTTTATCGAACAAAAAAAAAAAAAGCTTAAATCCGACGAATAATAATCGACAAAAGGCGTACAGACGAATAGTGATAGAGAGCGAGAGAGAGAGAGAGAGAGGA